TGAGTTGTTCCTATAGTTGGACATAATTCCAAGTGAAGAAGGGCAGGTGGGATTGCCCTTGGAAAATTACAAAATTCTCTTTTAATGACTCCAAGCTTCCTTTGGAAACAAAGACCTGTATTTTAAATATCAATATTCTACAGGTGTTCCTCATTGGCAGGAAGACAAGGAATACAACAGTCTCTGAAGAATTAAAAATTATTATCATATAGAGACACTACAGAATGATAGTGGGTATGTGCAAGCTGCACTATAGAATTGAGGAAGAACAGAAATAGAAATGTCATCAGGGAAATCTATACTAAGAAGAAATATAGTCACGTAGTGAAGGCAAGAAATGACCAGTGGACTGCCAGAAAGCTTCACTGATATGCTAGAAACGTCAGGAAGTATTAAAGAAGGCCTCCAGAACACTGGGTGGACCCTCTGTGATGAACTTATGGAAGGACATGTGGCAAGAGTTGTGTGGTAAGAGTGTTGTAATTAGAATAGCCCTGACCTGAACAATTTTTATGATCTATGTGACCCTGGTCAACTCACTTCACCACTTCAACCTCGGATTCCTTCCTCTGTAAAATGGAGACAATAATTACACATACACAATGGGGTTGTTTTGAGTCCCTAATAAGATAATATGTGTAAAGTGTTTCAAAAATCTTAAGGCACTATATAAATCTTTGCTATTATTATTATTGCACAGGATTCTCAGGTATGGATAAGTTGTCATTAAGTCATTTCAATGTGTCCGGGACCCCATTTGGGTCACATTTCAGTGTGTTTGTGACCCCATTTCCTCTGCAGAGATACTAGAGTGGTTTGCCATTTCCTTATCCAGTTCATTTATCAGATGAGGTACTGAAGCAAACAGGGTTAAGTGACTTAAATCACACAGCTTAAGTATCTGAGGCCAGATTTGAATTCTGGAAGATGAGTCTTCCTGATTCCAAGCATAGGGCTGGAATTCCAAAACTGATGAGATTATAAATCATTAGAGTATTTTAAGTATAACTCAGTTCATTCACCCAGACCACATCCTTCCAAATGGACTATGGTTCCCATCCTATTTTTTTCTTAGCAAAGTTCCAAAGAGGAATAGTGACTATAAACAAGCATGGCTGGAGCCTTCCTGAAATAATGGGTCAGGAGAGCCACACACCAAAACTATTCATTCATTCATTCATTCACTCATTCATTCATTCATTCACTCATTCATTCTATTCCTGTTAGTAATTTGTGAAGGAATAGACTGCGGGCTTGCGGTAAAGGTCACTAGCATCTGAATTAAGGGTAAAGCAGACCAGAGAGAAACCACTCTATTTCCATTATGTAATCCCTCTAGCTTTAGCCGGAAGGAGCGCATGCGCAAGAATATACGCTTGCGCAGCCCGGAACTAAAGTGCCCCGGTCCAACAGTTCCACGCTTTCCGGTTTCCCCGGGATCCAACAGCTGTGGACTAAAGCCAATGGCGGCGCCCATCTTGCAGGTGGCGGAGGCTGCGACCGATGAGGAGGCAGTGACACCCAAACCAGGGCTCTTGGAGCCCGGAGCCGCCCCGTACGGAAACTTCCCCAGTTACTCCCGCTTCCACCCTCCTGAGCAACGGCTTCGCCTTCTGCCCGCGGCGCTGCTGCGGTGGCTGTTTCCCCCGGGAGGCCCCGATCCTCGGCCGCTGCTGGGGCTTGATGTGGGCTGTAACTCCGGGGTGAGTAACTGGAGAGCTCTGCGCATGTTCCGGCCCCTCCCCTGGCCTGGGGGAGGAAAAGCTGCCTGAAGGCGTTGCCGGGGCCACGTGTCGCGGTCATTTAAGGGGCCCGCCCTATGCCATTGGGATGACCAGTACCTCCCCGAGATCTTTCTCCCTACGAGTCCCTTGGAGACAAGTCAACAAGTATTTCAAAACCTACTATGTACTAGGCACTTACAAAGAATTAACCATCCAGGGGCAGCTAGGTGGCACAGTGGATATAGAGCACTGGCCCTGAAGTCAGGAGTGCCCGAGTGCAAGTGCGGCCTCAGGCCAAGCACTTGACACTTACTAGCCGTGTGACCCTGGGCAAGTCACTTAACCCCAATTGTCAAAAAAAAAAAGACTTAACCATCACTTAGCACTCCAAAGGTTGTGACTCTTTGAGAGCAGGGACTGTGTTTTGCTTCTTTTTGTGTCCCTGAACGTTTGGCACAGTGCCCGGCATGTAGTAGGCACTCAATAAATGCTTATTGATTGAGTGGGAAGTAGGTGCAATTATTATCCTCATTTTAAAATTGAGGCAATTGAGGCGAACAGGTTAAGTGACTTGCCCAGGGTGACACAACTAGTATGCATCTGAGGCTGGATTTGACCTTCGGTTTTTCCAGCTCCATGAGATAACGGGATATGAGATAGTGATGAGATAATGGGAGATGAGAAGGGAGAGAGTCCCAGAACTGGGAACCACCACTGAAAATTAGAAGTGAGGAGATGGTGTCTCCTGTTTGAGGAACACTAAGGAAGGCATTGCAACTAGAACAGAGGAGGAAGAGGGGAGTAAGGTATAAGAAGATTGGAAAGGTAGGAAGAGCTTTGAAAGTCAGAGGATTTTATATTTGATCCTTAAGGCAACAGGGAGCCACTGGAGTTTATTGAAGAGGTGGTTGAGGTGGGGTGACGTGGTCATACCCCTACTGTAAGATCATTTTGACAGCTGAGTGGAGAATGGACTGGAGGGAGGAGAGACCACCCTCCCTGCTCATCAAGAGGCAACTATATAGGTGTTTTTAGTGCCAGGATGGAATCCTGAGTATAATAATGGGATTTCTGTACAGTTCATGCCCTTAAGCGTGGCCTTTGCTGAAAGCTGGGGAGCATGAGGCCTAGCTGAAGTGATTTGCTGGCATAATGTTTTATTAGAATAGTGCCAAGCAAAGGTGGGGAGGAGTGAATTTGTGAGAAGTAGCACAGAGGAGTATGGGATGAGGGGTGTCCAAATTTCACTTGTAAATTCATCAGACAGCAGTCTGAGACCCAGAGTCATGCAATGGACATATTTGCTCTCTCCAGTAGTGCCAGGAAATGACCTGTCCTTGCCTTCTGTTCCTGTTGGATTCTTGTGTCTTTTTTTTTTTTTTTTTTTTTGACTAGGCAATTGGGTTAAGAGACTTGCGTCGGGTCAGTAAGTGTTATGTGTCTGAGGTCGGATTTGAACTCAGGTCCTCCTGAATCCAGGGCCGGTGCTCTATCCACTGCACACCTAGCTGCCCTGATTCTTGTGTCTTCTGTTCAATCCTCTATAGAGGAATTCTTTCCTCTGTGCTGTTGGTATCAGTGTAGCAATTCATCCTACTGTCCGCGGCCCTTGCTCTGTGACTGGCCCACATTCTTTTCTGGTCATACTTTTTTCATTGAAATCTTTTATGCAGTTTCTTGTTTGGCAATATACAGCAGCTTGCCCACCTCCTGTGCTTTCACAGACCTTTGGGTCACTTAAATATTGATTCTTAGGTGGCTGTGGTATTCCATGACTTTCAGTTATTCATAGAATACTAATGTTAACAAGATAATTTGTTGTTGTTGTTTCAGGGGAGCGGCTTAAGATCGTTGCCATCAATATATAATTTTCCAAATGCAGTCCAGCCTGTTCCCCTGTTCTCTTCCTCCTGTTCCATTCTGGGCCCAGTTAGTTGTCTTTCTGCAGTGTCTGTCTAAGATATATGAATTGATGAACTGTTTCATTGGACTGATTGCCCATACAGCAATATCATCCACTTAGATGAAGAATACTGTATTGTTAGGCCAGACTCTTGAGTGGTTGTGAATTTTGCTAGGGAATCTTTGAAGTGGGTATTTGTTATTTGAGTCATTTCAATCACGTCCAACTCTCCATGACCTCATTTGGAGTTTTCTTGGCAAAAATACAGGAGTGGTTTGCCATTTCCTTCTCCAGCTCATTTTACAGATGAGGAAACTGAGGTAAACAGAGTTAAGTGACTTGCCCAGAGCCACACAGCTAGTAAGTGTGAGGCCTGATTTGCACTCACGGAGATAGATCTTCCTGACTCCCAAGCCCAGTGCTCTATCCACTGTGCTACTTAGCTGCCCTGAAGTGGGTATAATTTTATTCTAATCATACCTCTAATACATTCATGACCCTTTTAAAAACCTATTTATTGCAACTGCTGGAAAAATTGTAGTGGAACCAGTGCCGTGAGATATATTCCCAAAAAATCATTTCCTCCTCCCACTTCCTTATCTCAACACATACTCCCGATTGCTTGACCTTGAAAAGAAAAATGAACCCTTCATTTGCCTTTTGAAAACAAGAGAAATATAACTTGTAGTAGGGTGGGAGCCCCAGAAGGGGAGAATGAATTTTATACAGGAAGAATGATATGTATGAAAGCACAAGGGCAAATCCTGGGAAACAGTGAGGTTGAACTAGAGTACAGTGAGACAGGAAGGCACTGTTGGGAAGGTCTTGGGACATAGGCTAAAGGGTTTGTATTTGAGAAGCCCAAGGTTCAGAACAGAGTGTAGTATGGAATTGAACATTGGTGTCAAACTCAAATGGAAACAAGAGGCACCTAATCTGTGCACAAAGATCCCTGAAGGCCGCAGATTGACCAAGTTTTAAAATGTAATGTTATCTACATTTTACTGTATTTTTATTTATTTTGTGAGTATTTCCCAAATTACATTTTAATCTGGTTCTCGAGGGGCCCGTGATATTTGACAGCTGGAGTAGAGGATAAGGACCTTGTTGCTGTGGACCAGTGGAATAACTGGAAATGAAGAGATTTGAAAAACGGTGCAGAGGACATAGGTTGGTCAACAGGATGTAAGCTTCTGGAGGGGAGGGGCTAGGTGTGAGAGAATTTGAGGGGAGAGTCAGAGAATACTTGTAACCCCATGCATATCAGCACTTGAATTAATTGGCCATAATGATAATCTTGGGGTGTATTATGGTTACAAAGCATTTTTATATACATTCTCTAGTTTAATCCTAACAACTTTTGGAGGTAGATATACAAGAGTTATCATCCCTACCTTACAGATGAGGAAACTGAGTCCCTGAGAGATGAAAAGACATGGCTCAGCCACAAAGCTAATAAATGACAGAATTGGAACTTGTACCTGAGACCCTCCAACCGCAAGGCTGATTCTTCCTACTTACCTCATGTTGTCTCCCATGTGGAATCTAAGAAGCCAGGAGTAAAAATATGGAGCCCACGGTGGTGGTCTGCAGGGTTGAGTAGTGCTATTGATTTAAAAAGTGCGTGACAGTGATCTAATGGGGAAGATAGCCAATGGAGACGAATAGAGCCAGTCTATCAGTATGTGTATCCTGGGCTGTGTTCCCAAGGCTTCAGAGACACACTGGATTTCATAGGAAAGAGGTAAAAGCTAATTTTAGTGAACTGATGGAATAAATGTAGATGATCATGGTGGAGCTGTGGAAAGAATATAGTATTTGTCCTTATTAGAGGACCTGGGTTTGAATTCTGGCTTTGCTGTTTACTGTTTGTGTGACTTTTGGCACGTCATTCACTCCTCTGGATGTTAGTACCTTCATCTGTGGAGTTAGGGGGTTGGATGAGGTCACCTCCAAGGGCCTTCCAGCTATAGCATTGCATGAGGAGCCACGCTCCTCTGAGGCAGTGGGGACTAGTAGAAAAGTCCCACACTTGACTTTTACTGCCTGCATAATACTGAGGAATCATTTAACTTTTCTGAGCCTGTTTCCTCATCAGTTAAGATGAAAGTAATAATGTTTGAGGCAGGTAGGTGGCGCAGAGGATAGAGTGCTGGGCCTAGAGTCAGGAGGAACTGAGTTCAAGGCTGGCCTCAGACAGTTAAGAGCAGTGTGACCCTGAGGAAGTCACTTAGCCCTGTTTTCTTCGGTGTCCTCATCAGTAAAATGAGCTGGAGCAGGAAATGGCAAACCACTCCAGTATCTTTGCCAAGAAAACCCCAAATGGGGTCACACAGAGTCAGACATGACTGAAATTATCTACCGCCTTGGGTTGTTGTGAGGAAAATGTTTTGTAAACTTTAAGTTTTACATAAACATGCATTACTATTTTTAGTGTCTGCCTAGATGTCTCACTCAGCTCCTTGGGTGGAGTCTTTCCCTAAATAACCTAAACCTCCAGTCTCAGAAATTACAGACAGTTCATGACACCGTGTGTCCACTGGAGGGCACCAAGAACCTAAACAGAAAAGCTTACTCCTGTGCAGGATGCCTGTTCTCAGGTTGTAGCTTAGGTTCATTCAAAGAGTAAACCAGTAAATCACTTCTGAAGTATCTGTTGCTTGCTGAACAAAGTCAACTTCTTATTTGCAAGTGTGGAAATCTTTAGTAATACCCCAAGATCAGATAAATCGGGTTAATACCAGAATCATTTCACAGAATCTCAGAGTTCACAGGGCTATCTAACCCAACCAGTCTCATACATCCTGAAGGAATGGTCATCCAGCCTTCACTGGAAGACTTCTAGTGAAAGAGAATACCAGACTTTTTGAGACGGTTCTTTGTGCTTTGGGATAGCGCTACTTGTTAGGAATTCTGTCCTTACTTTTAGCCAAAATCTGCCTGTCTGCAGCTTTCCTCTATTGCTCCTAATTCTCCCTTCTGGGGCTACAAATCTTATTCTCCTTTTGAATGAAATGCAATGGTGGCAAGGTTGATATGCCCTAGGGAGGGGGGAGCTGTTTTCTTCTCTTCCCACTCACTAGGGAGAGGCTGAAAAATGACAGTACCCTTTTGGATTTCCACAGGAACTGAGTATTGCTCTATACAGACACTTCCTCTCACTTGAAGAGGGAGAGATCTGTCCAGTTTCCACTAAAGACCTCCGCTTCCTTTGCTGTGACATTGATCCTGCCCTGGTGGATCGAGCTGAGAAAGACTGCCCCTTTCCTGCAACTATGTCCTTTGTCACCTTGGACATCATGGATCCCCAGACCCGGGAGCCCCTTTTGAGTTCCTTCCTGAACCAGTTTGGCCGCTCAGCCTTTGATATTGTCTTCTGTATGTCCATCACCATGTGGATCCATCTGAACCATGGGGACAATGGCCTACTTGCATTCCTGGCCCGTCTTGCCTCTCTCTGCCGCTACCTCCTGGTTGAACCACAGCCTTGGAAGTGTTACCGGGCAGCTGCCAGGCGCCTTCGAAAGCTAGGCCGCCATAACTTTGACCACTTCCGCTCTCTCGCCATTCGTGGTGACATGGCTGATCGTATCATTCAGATTCTTACCAATGACCATGGCATGGAACTGGTGTGCTGCTTTGGCAGCACCAGCTGGGACCGAAGTCTGTTGCTGTTCAGGGCAAACCAGCCGTCAGAGCCTATGCCATCCCTGTGACCAAGATGAAACATAATGAACAGAGTAAATTAACAACCTTGAAGCAACACGATGAGAGGGATGGAGAAGCAGATTGAGAGAAACCAAAAGAATACTGACCCGGCTGTGAAGATTTCTGGGTTCATCCTCTCCTTGACTGTTAACAAGGTAGCATCAAGACCCAATAGAAGTTATTGGATGAATAGTCAAGATAAATGATACTTGTTCCCCATTGCTTGGGGACAGATCATGAAAGGAAAAGCCCAAATCAGCAAAGCCCTGGGATTTCTGATGTAGAATACAGGGATGTCCATTATGAGTTAGACATGGTGCAGAGGCTGTTTGAGGGTTTTCTTCTTAGGAGGATGAGCTGGAACCTGGCCAGCCCTAAAATGAATTGATCATATTTGTCTTTGGTCTAGTTTCTTGAGGAGAGGGAGGGTGTTCCTCTGGACTGGAAAAAGACTAGCTGTTTTCACATTATATTCCTAGGTATCATGCTGAAACCATATAATCTGGAAGGAGGACTTACTGACCTGGGTAAAATAAAGGATTATGGAAAAGCCGTCTTATCTCTGTCGAAAAGGGCAAGTCTAAAAAATGCAAAGACTTAGAGTAGGCCACACAAATGCAGTTGGATGTGTATGCCCAGACAGAACCAATAAACACAGTTTACAAAATCAACATGTAAATCAATAAAAATAATGTGTTTTGCTTTGTTTTGTAATGTGGATTTTTTTTTTAATGGATAAGAGTGAAGAGAGATCCTGGGATATCCAAGGGAATACCCAGCTTTCTCCTGGGGAGGACTGAGCTAGAGAATATCAACAAGGTTGACTCAGTCCAGAACAGTGTATCTGTGAGTTACAGATCAGTTATACTTTCTTACAGTCTAATGGTTGCTTCCAAAACACGTAAGTATGAGAGTCTAGAGAATGTGTAAAAGTAAAGTATGTACATAAATGCAGATTTAACAATTAGACAGAAATATAGATGTAAAATAGCAAGGATTAGGATGACCAGAGCCAGAGGTTTTCAGATGAGAAGGCCTTCCTGGAGGAACTGAATCTCAAGGAGTTTGGGTGGTGGAAAGGATGGATAACCATGGTATAATGGCCTTGAATAATCTGCTTCTGCCAGTTATTACCCAGGTAATCTTGGGTATGTTATTTCATCTCTCCAGACGTGTAGTTTCCTTATCTATTAAATGACGGGATTGAAATTACATTTGACCTAGAGATTCCACTGTTGGATATATACCCCAAGGAGGTCAAAGACAAAAAGAAAGACCCCGTATTTACTAAAGTATTCGTAGTAGCATTTTTTTTTTGTGGCTGCTAAAACCTGTAAAAAAAAAAAAAGGTGGGTGTCCATCAGTTAGAGAATGGTCAAACAAACGTTACATACAGAATTATTGTGTGCTAAGAAATGACGACTATAACACATGAGGAACATGGGAAGACTGCTATGGACATAGAGACTGAAATAAGTAGAACCCAAAAAACTCCATATCCAGTAATATGAAGGAAAAGACCACTAACTTGAAGCCATACACTGTGTATTTAGAATGACCATTCAACCCCAGAGAAGAAAGGAGGAAGTACACTTCCTTCCTTTTCTTGGAGAAGCAGGGAGACTGTGCAGAATGATGCATACATGCACTATCAGACTGGGTCACTTACTGAGTTGGTTTTATTTTCACTGTTTTTCTTTATAACTTGGAAAGGCTTCCTAAGTGGGACAGGGTGTGTATCCGGAAGTGATTATGATGTAAAAAAAGACATCAGTGAAACTTTTTTGTAAATAAATGAAGGAGTCAGACTAGCCCTTTAAGATTCCTTCCAGCTCCTACTCTTAATTTAAGTCAACAAGCATTTATTAAGTGCTTGCTTAATGCCAGGTACTGGGATAAGTGCTGGGGATACAGAGGAAGACAAATGTATGGTTCCTGATCTCAAAGAGCTCACATTCTAATGAGGAGATAATGTAGAAACAACTACGTATATACAAGATGTGGAGAGAGTAGTTGAAAAGTCTCTCCTGCACTGAATTATGAGCATAGTGAGGGTCCTATAAGAGATTTATTTGTGGGGTAGGGAGAATATATGTTAAGGCCTTAATAGTAAGTTCTGGTAAGGAATTAGAAATTTATGGAAAGAATCTTTTTATTTTTTTTGGCTAGGCAGTGGGATTAAGTGACTTGCCCAGGGTCATACAGCTAGTAAGTGTTATGTGTCTGAGGCTGGATTTGAACTCAGGTCCTCCTGAATCCAGGGCTGGTGCTCTATCCTCTGCGCCATCTAGCTGCCCCCGAATTTGAAATTCATGCAAGGAATATTAGAAAGCTATTGCAAATCTTTGGGTAGTAGAGAAACTGATGAAAATAATGTTAGGAAATGATTCTTGTTGCTGTGTGTAGCATAGACAGAGTAGGAAGAAACAGCACGACCAGTAAGGAGATACAGCAGGAAGTAGCTTAAGCTAAGTTGTCAGTGGATATGTGTTATAAGAAGTGATGAATATGAAGAATTTAGAGAAACATGGAGAGACTTAAATGAACTGATACAGAAGGAAATAAGCAGAATCAGGAAGACAGTATGCACAATGACTACAACATAAATGAGATGAACACTGTGTTTATAATTAACAAACAGCCTCAGAGAAGAGTTGAAAAAATGCACCTCATCTTCATTAAAGAGATGGGCAAATAGCAAAGTGGAAGAGTAGACCATCAGTCCTGGTGTCTGTTAGTTTTGCCGAACTGCTTTTTTCTCCTTTTAAATCTTTGTTAGGAGGGTTAACTCATTGTGCAAGGGAGGGGGAGGAATACCTTTGGAAATAAATATGAACTAGAAACAAAATGTACCGATAAAAATGACGGAAATGCTCTTTAAAAGAGGAGATGTGTCAGACAACAGGAAACCCTTGACTGGAGGGAAAGTAGAAGGTCAGTATTAGATATGAAAATTACAGAGTCATTTACATCTAGATGGTAATTGAAATTTTAAGAGTGAAAGTAGATAAGGGAAAGCTTGAGAGGACCAGCACAGGGAGATCCATGACATGGCAGCATTTTATTGAATATGCTGTCTTCCAGCAACAGGGTGAAGCCCCACTTAAGACTCCTGAAAAATGGCTTTCCCTAGGGGAACCTTGTGCAATCACTGGATTGATCCAAATGGAGGCTTCATAGAGCCTAATTAGGGTCGTCCTTTTTATTCAGATCACTTCGAGGTATGCAGCCTAGAGAGTCATTGCATGTTGGCTTGATAGATTCATGTGATGACCCGGCAGAGCATATGTAGTTCCAGTAGTCAGGATTAGACTGTGATCACTGCTGTAGTTGGGACCAAGCAAAATCCTTTATATACCCTGTCTGTATAAAGTCTTCCATAAATTCCCTGCCCCCTACCAAGTAAATGAATACAGAGAACAGCATCAGAATTTGTATAGGAGGGATATGAGAGTACGGGAGAGAAGGAGTATGCCTCTCTAGGCACACTAATTGCACTATTGGTGGAGTTTTGATGATGGAAGCAAAGGTCCCTTGTATACAAAAATATTTATAGCAGCACTTATCAGTCAATAAACAAGCCTTCCATGAATGTTGAATCTGTGCCAGGCACTATGCTAAGCCCTGGGAATCCAAGAGGTGGAGATGAGCAGGTAGAGCTTTGTAGGCATGGGTACAAGTATAGTACAAAGGCAAGGGTGGTGAGAGTTGGAATGTAGTGTAGGAGGAACAGCAAGTGGGCCATTTTAGCTGAATATGAAGTGTATATTATAAGTCTGGAAAGGCAGGAGGCAGACTGAAGTGCTACAAATGCCTAATAGAGAGGTTGGTAACTTATCCTAAAGGGAAGAGCTTTTTGAGCAGGGGATTAGCATTAGATATGGAGCGTATTAAAGCGCTTTGGCAGTTGTGTGGTAGATAGACTGAAAATAGAGGGTTGTATGGGAGGAAAACCAAGGTGACCAGTATGGCAGAACTGCAGAGTGCATGGAGGATCTTTGATAGTATTTCCTGGTCACCTGATTACAAAAGCAGCCAGGACTTGAGGGGTTGGGTCTCTTCCCTCAATGTTTGGACTTCAGACCAGTAACATGATCAGCAATCGCCCAGGAAAGCTTCTCCCACCAAAATCACCCATATCCCTTCCCCGACCTGAATGTCCTTCCCCTGCTATGGCTAAGTGAACCTTCTTTTAGATCAGAGGTTCCCAAACTTGTTTGGCCTACCATTCCCTTTTCAAAAAAAAAAAAAAATTACTCAGCACCCCCCTGGAAATCTACTTTCTTTAACTCTTTATTTTTTTTAATTTGTATCATTTCAAAAAATATAAAATATATTTTTAAATGATGCATCTTAAATTTAATAATTTATTGTAAATTTGTGGGTTTTTTCCCAGCATTGAAATTTTGATGATGCAATATTATATCATGTAACCATCTAGTATCAAATCATAAACACGCACACATTCCCAACGATGCTCAACAAGTTCACCTGCCAATACTTGCTTGTTAAGACCTGTTGGTGGACTTGATCAGTTTTACCTTGCATCTTGTGTGTTTATTTGGAAAATAATATAATCACTACAACTTTAACTCTGTTACACAACAGATGAAACATGTACAAACCATTTTTCAAAGTTTTCTTATCTTCTTATGCTTCCACTGCCCCCTTATTTTTATTCAACACCCCCCATTTGCACCCAAGGCTACTACTGCCTCCCTATCCCCATCCCCATTGTGTTCCAGCACCCCCTAGGGAGCAGTATCCCCTACTTTGGGAACAGACTTATAAGTGTTTCATTTCATTCCAGTTACAAAGCAGGTACATAGCCATCCTGGTTGGCCCTGGCCTGTGACACCAGTCCTTCCTTCCTTATTCCATCTCTTGTGGTTAGAGTTGCCAACCCATTGAAGTTTTTTTGCCTACTCAGAAGGTTTTTTATACAACCCAAGAAAGAAGTTCAAGTTCCTTTTCCCAGTGATGGTTCAAACAATTCCTTCCTTAATAGGGTTTGGAATTATTGGAAGGTGCTTTGCTTTTTAATGCTGTGAGGGATTTAATTGTCCTTGGGAATTCAGCTGGAAGAAAGGTGATCCTTTAGGTCAGTGGTGTCAGAATCAAATAGACACATGAAAAAAAGGAGGATCCCTGTGGGCTTCTCATATTGTCTTAGAAAATGACATTAATATTATCTATGTTCTAATGTATTTTTATTTATTTTGTTAAATATGTACCAATTACACTTAAATCTGATTTGGGCAGTGCTCCTAGAGGTCTCTTTGTTTGGCACCTCTGCTTTAGCTGACTTAACGGTAATCCTGAGTCCCTGGATGAAGGTAAGGGTGAGTTTTCATCCAGTATCCCTACACACACGTGCACGCACGCACACACACACACAATATAAAGGAATAATTTCTTGATGGAAGCCTCTAAAGCAGCCAAAATTTTATGTCATCCAGAGAAGCAGAGGTTTTGGCTACTGGGCTAAAGAACACTGAGTGGGTGGCATTATGAGGCCCAAGACAGTTTTCAAGGAAGAGACTTATGATC